GAGGGCAGGACTGTGTGGCTGGAAGCGAGGGGAACGAGGGGAAGGTGGAAGCRGCGCCTCCCTTGTTTGGCACGAGTCAACTATTAGCTTGGTTCAGCTGCAACGTGAAGCCCGGCCCTCAGTCTTCATTTTCAGTTCCCTCCCCTGCCCTGCTCCCCTTCTTTCCCTGGRATATACTCGTGTGCTTCCAGATGCCGATTGCATTTCCAGGCAGCATTTTCAACACGCAGAAGGGAAGGGCTTGACATTGGCCGCCTCCTCGGTAGAAGTTGCGCTATGGCTCTCGAGAGCCCTTTGCTAAAGGGCGTGCGTTTTAGGACATCTGCTAATGGGCAGAGTCCTAGGATGTCACCAGAGCTTAAAAAGTAGTCGCCTTACCCCCTCACAGCGAGGGCTGGAGGAGGCCGCCCTGCCTGAGGAGTCGGCCTAGGTCGGGCCTTGACGGCTTCGCCGGTGGTGGCAGCGTGGACTGAGAGCCCAGGCCCGGCGGGACCGGGCGGCCCTGGCGATGGGGGATGAGCGGGCGGGTGAATTCGGGAGGATGGTCTGTGACTGCATGGAGAGCCGGCGCTGCAGCGGGATGCCGCAGGAGCTCTCCCCGGCTTGGAGACGCCGAGCGCGCTTGCCCCCGCRCAGCTGCCCTGGCTTCGCTTTTGGTAGAGCCCCATGTGTGCCCGGCCCTCGCGGGCTGCGCGGGCGGCAGGCAGGGAAGAGCAGCGAGCCCGGCCACGGCCCCGGGAGGGCGCCTTGCCCTTGGTGTCCCGCGCGCACCGGGCAGCTTCGGAGCAACCGCCTGGGAGCCAGGAGCGGAGGGAAGAACTTGTTCGGATTAGGGATTTGCTCCATGCTCTACTGCGGCTGGCTTTTCTGAGCACTCGCATCTAAATTCTCCTTGTTCGTTTATGAAGGTGTTTTGGTAAAAAATAGGATTATCGTGTGGCTGTGCTGCTTTAGGTGGTGGAATTCTTCACTGGGTGACTGTTACGGTGGATGTGTTTTCAAAAGATKCAGGGAATGAAGGAGAGAACCGCTCCATTGATACGAAATACTGGTGCCACTGGATGCGCCAAGCCAAAGGTGCCTTTGTTTAAAGGAGATATGCACATATATAAAAATAAATAATTTAAATCTCACATGCTCATAAGCCAAATGCAATATATATATATTTATGCTCTAGATGACCCTGCATGTGCAGGGTAGTTGGACTAGATGATCTCTAAAGGTCCCTTCCAACTTTTTTGGTTTTATTTTGTGATTTTATGATTTATTTATATATAGTCACATATAGAAGAGAAGGAATGACACAGAAAATCGTGTGTGTAACTTCAATGGGAATTTTGTTTTCCATCTCCTTGTCCATGCACTGAGCCTCTGGGGCGGCTGTTAGCGAAGGAGCTGGAGAGTTGGGGTGTGCTCAGGATCTGCCGTTGCCCTGGCTGATGTGTGGGTCTCGGCCAGGGGACACGTACGGATGCGGGGCTGGCTGCAGTTTTCCCTGCAGTCTCCCTTTCTCGCTGCTCCGAGTAGCGATGTGTATCCTGGCACTCTTGTCCTCCACCTACGTCTTTTCCTCATCTCTCGTAGCTACTTGCTGGATTTTGTTGTTGTTCTGGCAAATCAGTCGTAATGGGTGACTCTCCTCCAGTACTGCTTAACCCTGCTCGTGATCGTGGGTGTTCCTGTAAGCCAATTTTAGCATGGAAATGCAGGGAAAAGATCCAGGAAATGGGCCCGATTTGGGGTCGTCTCCAGAGCTGCAGCCATCGCCGGCGAGGATGGAGCTGCTGCCGCTGCTTCACAGGGAGAGGAGAGGAGAGGAGAGGAGCAGCTGCAACGGGGCCTTCTTGGAAGCCTCTTTGTGGTCTGCCTGGCCATGTCAAGGGGTTTGTGTGGGGAGGACACTCAGGTTGGCGTGTGGGGCTGCACTGGGGTTGGCCTGTGAGGCTGTAGTCGTCACCCTCTTGGGAAGGCGAGAGGAGCGCACGGGAGGGTCACCCCACATAAGCCAGCAAAGCGGAGGTGCTGCCGCGCCAGCGAAGACCTTCTGACAAAGCTGCTCGTTAGGCAAGGCCTAAAAATGCTGCCCCAGAGGGAGAAGCCGCCGCACAGGCCCATAACTAATTGCTGAGGTACCTACCGCTGGTGGAGCAGCCTGCAGAAATCATCTCATTGGAGACGTGGGTGTGGTGCCGAGAGGGAAATGGGAATTTCCTCTGAGTGTTGCTTGCCAAGCTTCACTGCAGAAGGAATTTTGGACGGAATGGGTGGAAACAAGGGCTAAAATGAATAGGTAGCTCCGCTTTTGCATGCCGTGTGCTGCTGCCAAGTGTCAGCCGAGCATCTGCTGCAGCACTACCAAACATACCTGGGAACCGAAGATGTGAAGCAGATCAGCGGGTGAATCCGATCAGCTCCGCTTTCCGTGTGTGGAGCCGAAAGCCTGGCTGAAAGGTGGCGTTGCGAGGGGCTGATAGCAGCGTGTTCCTGCAGCACCTCTGGCACCTGCGGCGACAGCTCCCGGCTCGGGCCCTATCTCCTGGTGGAAGCCACTTGCTTCTGTGTTGTGGTTTCTGTTGCTCTTCCTAATTATCCCGCTTGGGCCACCTGCCATTCTGACTCTGGCCGCATGGGATCGTCCAGCGCTCTGCGACGGGTGCCCCGTTGGCTGTTTCTGTCCTGAATAGTAACTGTGTTCCAGGAGTCAGAGGCATGAGGGAAGAGGTACCAAGGCTGGAACTAGGTTCCTAGTGACCTGGAGAAGCAGGAGCCTGTCAGCGCTGCTTGAAATACAAGGCTCCCCTGCAGGCCTGTGTCCACCRTGGCTCCTGTTCCACCAGTTGCTTTCTCAGCATGGTACGGAGACCGCTCATAGGCACTTGGCCACTTCATATCGTCTGCRCTCTCCCCCGATTCCCTGTTTTGGCTGTGTGCTGTGCGGGAGCCCAGGAGGCTGCAGGCAGGCGTCTTCCCTTGCCCAGGAGGCAGTTGCTTTGCTTTGGCCTCAGCTTTCCGTAGGGCCGAGGGCTTTTCTGATTCGATCACAGGGTTTGTTTTCTCCRTGAGTGTTTGTGGGGCTCCACTGGGTGATCCCTGTGAACGGGAGCACCCCAGGGCTCCCTGGCACGTGTGGAGCTTGCAGGCGGCACCCCAAAGGGGCCAGCGGAGTCGCGGGCAATGTCGGCCTCGCTGGAGCATCTGCTTTCACAGGAGCGCTCGCTTGGCTTGGAGCTGGTAGCATCMAAGCGTCCCTGTGCGCTGCCGGGAAAGGCTGCATCAGTGCAGGGACCTCTCCCACAGGACAACCTGCCCTCCCTTCTCCTTACCTCCCTCCCCACTTTCATGGTTTTTTTTGTAAATGGAAAGCTTCAATGGCCATTTCCAAAACTCTGCGCTGGCGTGGAGCCCAGGCTGGGAATCCAGGCAGGTTTTAGGAGCCTGTGCTGCGCTCCATGCAGGGCCGTACGGGATGCCGTGCCAGGCCGGGGCTTGCAGGGATATCGGTGCCGCTGGCCCTGGCATCCCATGCGCCGCTTCCGTGCGCAAGGCGAACGTCGCGGCGAGCGCAGAGCCAGCGGCTGCCGGTGCCCGGTGTCTCCCCGCTGGATCCCTGGYCCGTCTACTGGTGAGCGGTGGGCGCAGGTAGCCCCCAAATATGGCCCCCCATTGCCGCTGGCTGCCGGGCGCTCGGGCAGCCGGCCGTGTCGGTCGTGCCCAAAGGAAGCGCTCATCAGGTTGCGGAGAGGGCAGCGCGGAGCTCCGCTCCCCCCGCGCAGCAAAGCACGCTTGAAAACCAGAGCGTTCATCTTTGACCCCCATTAATGGCTGGCTTGCTTCGCGTGAGGGTTTTATGAGTCTGCTGCTGCTCCCACAGAGTTTAATTATTTAAGAGCGTGCGGCAGAGGTTTGAGCTGCCGCCGCCACTGCGCCGGGGTTCAGGCCCTGCCGACAGGCCGGCAGCGCCGGGTTCCCGAGGCGGCCGCCTGGCCATGAAGCCCCCTGCGCYGGCGGCCGAAGGGCAGCGCTCGCTGCTCCTCGCTGTGCCCATGCCGGGGAGCCCGGYGCAGCTCTCACGTGCTCAGAGACCTTTGCGCCGTTGGTGTTTCCCGGCGGGCAGGAAGCCAGCTAGACCAGAGCGGCTTCCATGCCCTTCCGTAGGCTGTTGAGCCTCTCCTGGTGGGAACGCAGGTGACTGCAGGCTGGGCCGAGCGGCTCGTGCCGCTGCCTTCTGGCTGCTGGAGCAGGGACGCGGCCTYGGGGCTGGCGTTCCGCAGGCCCTGCCGAGCTCCCGGCTTGGCACAGAGCCGGCTGTGCGCGGAGCCGCGCTCCGGGGCCGCCCCGGCCGCCGCTCTGGGAACGGCTGGCAGCGAAGGGAGTTAAGGGGCAGAGCGGGAAGCCTTGGCTTGCGGTGCGGGGCTCGCGCCGCGTTGCCGTGGCCYGGCCATCGGTAAGGAAGGCGCCTGTGGCAGCAGCCACCGCGCTGCAGAGAGGCCTGGGCTGCCCCTCGCTGCGGAGGGCTGAGCTCGTGCTGGGCACGGGGGCCTCCGTGGGGCCTCCCCGCCGCCGCGTCCTCACCCCGGGCCTCGGCGCCGCCTCGAGCCTCCTCCCACCGGCCGCTCTGCGGGTCGGGCTGCTGTTTGAGCCCTGGGCTGCGTCTAACGGCCTCTCCGTGTTCTACCCTGCTCTACTTTCTGCTTTACCCTGTTTTATCTCTTTCCACTCCTTTTCCCGTGCCTGTTTCATTTCCTTTGGTGCGGAACTCTCATTTCGAGCTATATTGGGAGCCTAGGATGAGCTGAAATGGCAGCATGAGGTAGGAGGGAGGAGGGGTTAAACAGTAGATATCAGTTTCTGCCATCATCCAATTCTTTAATCTGTTGATAATTATGGCCCCAGCTAAATCAGCTGGATCAGCTAGACAAATGCCAGCTGCTCTGTGTCCCTCTGCCTTCATATTCTACTGTATTTTTTTCTATTTTTTTTTTCTCCTTGAAAAATAATAGGATTCTGCTCATTGATGATTAAAACATCGCCTGGAATTTTGGAATGGATCAGACGCGTCAGTCAAACACTTCCACATTGCACCCAAAGAGAGGAATGCCATCCAGTTGGGGGTAGGGCCTTTTTTGTTATTCCCTTCCCCCCATCAGTGTCTCCAGTTGGTGAAAACCCTTTTCCTATTATAAATGCAAGATTTTTTTAATAGAAAATGCTTGCTTTCTTGTGTGAAAAATTGACTGCTTCCTTTCCTTTTGATATGGAGAAATGTTGTGCCTCCTTATGCAAAATGTTACTAATAAACTTGAGTCCTTCCAGGGTTTTGGTAAGGAAAACATTTCAGTAACTATTCCAGTTATTTGGGGAAGACAAAGCATTTGTCTTTAATGAAAAGTAAGTGCATGTTAATTACTAAGAAAGATGAAAAGAGCGGATTTTAGCTTTCTTGAGTTATGTCAAAGCTGAGGTGGTTAATCCCAGGACAAACTAACAGCCCTRAGTAACCCATGCCCCTTGCAACAGGGGAGCAGAAGAAGAATATTGGGTTGGATGTCGCATTTCTCACGTACTGCTCATGTGTATTCGGTTTCGGAGGCAGGAGGTTCAGCACGAACCCTAGAAYGAGATAAAAGATGTGAGAGAATGTGGATCTGGAGCCTTGCGCTCTAGCTGAGGCGCAGGTTGCAGCCTGAGCAGGAGCTGAAGTGGCTTTTTGGCTTGCTGCCATTTCCTAGCGCACGGCTCCCCATTCCACGCTCGCCGGGAGCGGAGACAAAACACGAAGCCGGCGCTCGGGAGTGGGATGGACTTGGCAGGTCGGGAATGAGACGGATGCTAGAGTTTGTGTCCAGAAGAAACACCACTGCAGTGTCGCGTGTGTGAAACCCCAGTGTCCCTTAGGCTTCACCTTGATTTCCTGTTTTTTTCTCTTTTTCATGTTAAAATTGCTTTTGACTCGGAAATGAAGAGCCCTAAACCGGCGGGTTTTGATAGAGTTCACCATAGGATGATTCTTTTCTCCTCGGTTTGCAGGTTTCCTGAATGAATGATTTTGAAGTAGAGTAATATCTCCCTGTAGAGCCGGGCTCCGCTACGTTTTTAGACTATCACAGCAACAGCGCGGCTGCTCCTGCAATATTAGTAATTTATGCCTATCCCTCAGTCTGCACCTTTGTCAGTCATTTCAGGCTCGGCAGGCTGGGAGAGATGAGAAAGGCAGKTTATGTGTTTGCTGCTATTCTCCCCGCATTTCTTCTCAGGGTAGGCAAAGGATTTCACTCTCCAGAGTGTGTCTATCTGGAAACCTTTTAGCAGTGCTAAATTTACAGAAATAACASCAGAAAATAGCCTGGTGGTGTCTCATTTCAGTGATCCCTGCATGCGGTTGCTGGGATTGGCCTCTGCCCCAAGCGTGGTTCAGATGTTCCCGAGCCCCGGCTGGGCGCAGTAGGTAGGGAGAGGAGAGCCCTTCGTGGGTCTCTTCTGTGCCGTGAGCCCGGCCAGGGTTTTGCTCCGTGAATTTAAYGAGCCCCAAATGTTCCTGCGCTGCTGTAGTTGTGCAGAGCTCCCTTCGACACCGTGTTCTCCACGTCCTTGGTTGTCTCTCCCACCTTGTTGTGAGGAGCGGATGTAGTTGGCTGCGAGTGCGAGTTAAGCTCCCTTGAGGCCCGTGGTGGTCGGTTCTCCACAGGGAATGGGGACCTCTCCAGGGGTTCTGTGCTGCTGAGCTGCAGGGAAGGGTGGGAATTGCTAGCAGAGGAGAGAATGTTTTGCAAAAAAAATGTTGTGAAAAAATTGAGCTGTGTTTTAAGCCTGAAATAGCTTTCCTGAGGGGGGAGAGAGAGAAGAGAGAGAGAGATTTCTAGAATAATTGTTGTCGGAAAACTATTGTTACTTTAAAGCTGTTTTGTGCTGTTTTAAATTCTGGTTTTGAACATCTTGGCTTGGGAAAGTTTGGCTTGAAAATTGCTGTGTGTTTGTGCAGAAGGATCTGCGGAAAGATCAACAGATAAGAAGAAACTTGGTGAATTGTTTTATGTTGCAGTCATTAAAAGATCTTTTCATTTGAGATTGATTTTTTTTTTCCTGTGTTTTATACCTTTGTAGATCAAACATGCTGTCCTCCAAAGTACTTTGTGCTGTTAAATCTTCGTGGGAACTTGTATGTACAATTTGAAGAAAGCAGGATTTCTTGGATCTGAATTAGAATATGGGTGTCCAAGTGGCTTGTGCTCTGGTGAATGTTTATAGTTAAGGAAAAAGACCCCTTGCTGGAGGTCGGMTTGCTCGGCTGCAGCCCTGAGAATGGCCCCTTATTTTTGGCTGCTGAAGGGCCTTGCTGGTGGCTCTGCTTGTGYGCTTCAGCAGCTGGCTCCCTGTCTGCGTGACAACTGACTTATTGCAGAGCAGCACCGGCTCCTGCAAACGGAATCCGTGAAGCTGATTTGGAAGATTTTTCTTTTTCCATCTTTACAAAAAGTGACTTTAGGAAGGGAGCTGTTCCGCAGGTTGCAACCAGGATTCTATAATAAGATCTCTGTTCACTCTCCCTGCTTTTTCGCATGCAAACTTGTGGCTGTAATTATATGACAGCTGCCCTCTTGGCTGACATGCAGCAGATTGAACTGGGGACCTCCGGAGCTAAAAGCGTGAGCTGCTACACGGCGGGCTGAAAGCTCCCTAGCTGGAGGCTGTAATGATCTGTATCCTTCACGACTCAGTGTGGAAGGGAGCTGCAAAAACCCACCCCGTTAGGCTGAGTACAGAGCACTCGCTGAGTGCCTCGTTGCTTCCTGGCCACACCGAAACTTCTCTTTGAGTGGTTTGGGATAATTGAAAAACTCTTTTCAACTTAGAGCTGCTTTAAAATAACACTCCAGCTCTCGCGTCTACCATTTTGGAGTCTTTCTACCTTGACTAAAAGGCCCTTGCTTGCTTGCTTGTGAGATTCCTGCAAGACACGTTAGTTGGGAACAGGCGTTCGTTGCTGTGGGCTCACATGCCGTTCAGTGCGAGGGGCTCGYGTGTTCCTGAAGCCTTTTGGCTCTGACACAGTGTAAGTAGTTTTTTAAGAATACTGGCCACAATGTGAAAAATTTTAATGAAAAATTTAAAGTGAAAAAAATGACTGGTGATGGTCAAACAAACCCTTATGCTTTACCATATCACTAGGTTTTTGCAGATGGGAGCTTTATCAAAGCAAGAGAAGGAGAAGCGGGAATTGTTGGAATCTGCCCTGTCTTCTAAGCATCAGGAAATCCTGAACAGAGCCAAAGTTTACCAGGCTGAACAAAAATCAAGGGAAGCAGAGCCATATGGAGGAGCTTCATGAGTAGTGTCAGCCGTGGGTAGCTCCTGCAACAGATACGGTGGGAGGGGGAGAACTGTGTTGCAAGTGGAGACACTGATTTTGAACTTTGTGGTGTTCTTAACAGCTCCTCCCCTCACCCCCCTCTAACCCCCCCCCAAAAAAGGGGGGAAAAAGAGAACGGAGATGAGAGCCTACTAGCTTTAAGTAGAATATGTTTTCTTGTGGAACTGCACAGTTCAAACTGATCCTTCTGCTCTCCCTTTTCATTTAAAAATATGAAAATGAAACATGAAGGGGAATCAATTAAATATTTAAAGTCAAAATTGAAAAAAAAAGTCTCTTTCAAATCTAAAGCACAGAGTTAGTGCTGGCCCAGTGGATCTGAATTTTCTTGATATCTCGTCTGTAACTAACAGGAACATTCTCTGCTGTAAATGAACATCATTTCCATATATATATGCTAGCTTTTGTACAATCAAACAAGTCTGAGGCTGCCAGATCATGGTTTAGGTAACCCCCTCACCCTAGTCTTATTCTCCACTGTCCTTCTTTGCATAAATTCATGCACGCAAGGTTAGTGTAAAGATACCTAAAGCAAGCCCTAAAAAGCCCCTARCTTCTCACTTCGTACCCCACGTTCCTGTCCGATACCACCAGTGCCATCCCATCAGTGGTGCTCATGCAGTTAGTAACAGTAGTGGTGTAAAATGGATCAATGAGCTGATATGGGTCAAAATCCCATCCCTCCAAATGTGTGGAAGGGCTGGGATGCAATTCCTGGGGCGTTTTGCAAGCAGCAGTGCAGGCCCAGCTGGGATGTCGCCGCGGCGGAGGAAGGAATTGCTGCAGTCAGTGCCACCTCCTGCGGGAGGCACCTGGTGGGGCTGCCCCCCTAGGCCATCTCGCTAGCCCTCGGGCTCCTGCTCACTGCAGCCTGTCGTGTCACTCTTCACAGAGACAGCAGCGTGAGGCTTCCCGCGCTTCCCTTGGGAGCCTCTTCCTCAGTCTAATAGACTTCACTGTCAGGAAGCATTTCCTGATTATGCTTTAATCATGGGTGTCAAACTCCTGGTCCCTGGGATGACCTTAGCCTGCATCAATACAAGTGTCTTTCTGGCAGTCAGCCCTCGCTCTCCCCTCCTGCTTTGGCATTTATTGCAGGCAGCTGTTCCTTGACTTGAACTCTGCTGCCCTTAGCACCCTTCTTGGAGGCCCTTGCAGATGTAGGGAGCTGGGAGCCACATCAAGGGCCCGAGCCGCGATCTCGGACACGCTCGGCACTTGGAGTATGTTTTTAAGAATTTGAGCTGCTGGCAAGTAAGCAAATACACGCTGAGGCAGCATTTGTGTGTCTCTGCACCTTGGTTCGAGCCAAGTCAAAGGAATCTGTTACAGCAGAGCTATCCCCTGACCTAATTACCTCGCTGTCGAACTCTGGAGTGTGGATGAGGCTCCAGCGTATCCCTGTGACCCGCTTAAGCAGGCCTCTCCATTTCCTTTATGTCTCACTGTTTATGCCCCTTCTGTGCTAAAGGGGTAGGAAGAGCGTCCCGGCAAAGCCCTTGGTTGCTGAGGCTGTGGAAATGCAGAGCCTGGGGCTCCACAGTGAGTCCTCTGTGTGCAGTGTATCCAGTATGGCAGTAACGGGAAAAACATCTGCCTTGCTCTCTGTTTAAGCGGTGGCTTTTGTTTCATTTTTCCCCCTGAGCTGATGGAGGTTACTGTCAGGTGGCGGTGGCCGGCAGTGAGAGGATGGATGGATTCCCAGG